TTTAATATTATTTTCCTAGGTACCTATTATATGTTGCTTCTTACAAACAACGGATTTTTTTATATTACAAACCTTCAGCTTATAAAAATTCAGCAAGGTGAGTAATACATTATTTTCTTATTGATTTGTAGCAATATTTCTTAGTTTTTTGGATGAATCTTTAAATATTCTCCTTAAGAATATTTTAGTTTAATTGTATACTGTGGTACTTCATCCATATTCAAGTGTTCAGAGTATACTTACTTCCTCTGATAGAATTTCAAGAGGTGTCATTTGGCTATAGCTTCAAGGAGCATGGCGCTTAGCTGAGATGAAAAGTCATGCGCTAGCGCAGTAATGAATGCTTTTTGATGGCGCGAATGAACCTGGAAATGGAAATGGCCACATAGGTGTTGACAGTGCTGAGCCGAGTCCGTGGTGTGTGCGGTGAGTGCTGTGGGCCGTGTGTCTGTCACAGCCAGTAGGATTGAAGAATTGAAGCAGGAAATGTGTTTAACGGATGTTTTGTTTTATTTTATTATTTTTAATTTTTGAGATACAGTCTATGTGTGTAGTTCCAGCTGGTATTGGACTTGCCATGGTCTCAGACTTACAGTGCTCCTCCTGCTTCAGCCTCCCAAGTCCTGGTTTTACAGGTTGTGCTCCACCACGCCTGGCACGACAAAGGTTTTACTACATCTATGCCAGGTGTTTGCTAGGTTCTGATTATATGAGATTTAAAATCTATAGTTGTGGTTTCGTGAAACAACTAGATAAATAAGGAAAGGAGCTGTCCTAAAACAGTGAGGAGTGATGAAACTTTGTAGGTGAGACTTGGGGGCTCAAATAAGGGTAGCAGAGGTAAGGCAAGAAGACCCCTTGGGGGAGAACCGTGGCGGGGAAGTGCGCAGAGGCACGTGGTGCTGCGGGCAGCGTGGCCGGTGCCCTGCCTACGGCATGTCCTCCTGTCCTCCGAGGGTACGGCATTGGTCAGGGCTGAGATGGAACAGGCCGCACTGACTTATTTCTTCTGTCCTGCGTTCTTTGAGCGAAAATGCATTAATTTCACTTTGAAATGAGAAGAGTGACTCGAGTTACTTTTTAGGTTGATACTATAACTTTAACCTTTCTTTTTTTTTTTTTTTTTTTTAACCTTTTTTTAATGCAGCGATTGAGAATGTAGATTTGGATACAGCCAAAAAAGTAAGAAAACTATATTGTTTTTCAACTTAAATTTAATCTAAATGTAGAATGTTTCCATATGTAATTGGCCTAATGGGTGATATTTTAGGAATTACTAAGGTAGAATATTTTATTTTATTTTTAATTTTTTAAATTTATTTATTTATTTATTTGTGTGTGTGTGTGTGTGTGTGTGGCCAGCTCAGCCCACCAGGGGGCGGGGCTGGCTGGCATGTGGTGCTGGGGGATTGAACCGCGGTCCCGGTCCTTTGCTAAGCTTGTTCCAAGTAGGTGCTTTAGACCACTGAGCCATCTCACCAGCCCCGGTAGAATATTTTAATAACTTACTTAAAAGTATTTTTATAGATGATTGATTCAAGTTGATTTTTTAATGTTTTTTTTTGTGTGCATAAAAATATATTCTAATTCTTTTACATTTTGCAGTTACAGGGACAGATCAGTTCCAGTTTTATTTCTACTGAAAATTATCATACTCGTCGTTGTCTTAGTGTTGTGGCTGGAGATTTAGCAAGTGAAACTCCTGTGATAATTGGGGTAATTCTTTCTGTAAAATTTGTTTTTGTTACCCAAAGTGTTTCTTTGATAGCATGTTAGCCTTTTTCAGTTAAATTTCAAATTAATTTGTAACATCTAACAAAAAAGAATTATACAATTAGGTTAAAAAAATTAAGTTTTAAAAACACCAACATTTCTATCCTGGAAGAATACTGCATCTTTTCATTATCTTTTCCCTGAAGTTTTAGCATTATTTTCTGTTTTGATTAGAGACAAAAACAATAAAAACAAAACTAAACACTTCCACATTTACAGTAGTGCCTGGGAGTTCGTCACTAGATAAGAAGCACAGATTTATTTATTTGTTTGGTACAGTGCTGGGAATTGAACCCTGGGCCTAGGTGAATGCTCTTCCATTAAGCTAAACTTCCAGCCTGAAGTCACAGATTAAAAAACAGCAACAACAAAATCACATTACTGCAGTTACCTTGATTGCACATCAGTGCTTTAAAATCATAGTGTCTATATATAGAATGGCTATCTGAAGGTACATTTACTTTAGGTGACAAACTCAGAAGTTCTCTGAGCCTACTGTTTTATTCTGGGTTTTGCTTATGTTTGGTAAAAGAAGCCACATGTGGTGGCGCACGCCTGAAATCCCAGCACCTGGGAGGCTGAGGCTGGAGAATGGTTGTGAGTTCAAGGCCAGCCTGGACTACAAAATGAGCTCAAGGCCAGCCTGAACTGCATAGTGAGACCCTGTCTTAAAAAGACCCCCTTCCCCCCCAAAAAAAAAGTAAAAGAAATGCTAAACTTCAGGTGATTACTGAAAGAGAGTGTGTTAATTTTTTTCCTCTCCCATTTTACAAATCCCTGTATTCTTGGAATGAGCCTTGTTGAAAACCTATTTCAGAGAATGGTTCTGAACAATAAAAGGTCTTTAATTCCCATCTTGTAAGTGATCCTACTTAGTTTTCAGGCTGGACTAGCCAGCCTACTTGCAGGTACTTGTTATTAGTCAGAAGAAAATGAGCAGAATTCTAGGAGAGGTCTTAAATTTCATCTTGTCTTTTTAAGACAAGATCCTGAATAGGCCTACTGGTTATTAAATGATATTCATGTAATAACAATGAATATTAGTTCTTCCCATTCTCCTTTGAAACTAAGAACTGGGAGATAAAAGCTAGTTGGGTTTGAATATGTAAATATATTTTATTTTAATTAATTACTTAATTTGTTTGCTTGTTTATTTATTGGGGGTTGCCTGGAATTGAACTCAGGACCTCAGACTTGACAGGCAGGTGCACTGCTTAAGTATGCCCCCAGCCCCTGTACATACATTTGGAAATGAGTAACATACAGAATTTTTAGATTTTTTGCTTTGAGAAATGTCCAAATCTTAACCAAATTTACAACTGTTTGTTGTTTTTGCTTTTTAGGGAACTGGTAATTGTGTCTTCTCAAAATGGGAACTAGACTCTTCCAAAAAAGAAATGACAGCTAAGAACCTTATTGATGCAGAAATTATTAAAGGTAAAATAACTTAAACCATGTTCTGTAATTATTAAAAAGTTGTAATTTTCATGTTAATATACTTGAGCTAGCATATGAGGTTTTTACCAAATCATTGTCGATTAGCCAGATTAGTTTCATCGTTATCTATAGCATGACCCTTCTTGACATGTTGCAGTTCCTACTTTGTTTTGGGAGAGTTTATATTTTATTTGTCATCTGAAAATATTAGGGACAGGAATAAATGAAAGTGGGAACGCTTAATTTAGGTGTTCTCAGAGTCTCCTAATGCACAGTGACCGCTGGGGCATCTGCTTGGCCAGTGGATGTGCAGGTGATGGCCTGAGGTGTCACTGCCAAGCTAGGAACCAGGGAGGTGGCTGAAGTGACCCCCGAACCGCACACTGATTCTCACCTCAGTGGTACAGAGGGGCCTGCACCCTGTATACGCAAGGTAACTTTCTCACCGTGTTGACCGGATCCCTGGAAGAACTGAAGTTTGTGCTCACCATTGAAGATGTAGGGAAAATCCCCAGCCCATGATGCAGGCTAGGGTGGAAGAACTAGAAGGAGAAAACCAGACGCCTGCAGTGTGGAGCGCTTGAGGTTGCCGATAATTTACGCTGAAATCTTGAAAACCAGTTTCTCAAGCCAAGGGACCACTGAATGACTTTTTGCAAATAACTACGGTGTGTGGACAGGTTTTACAAAGCGTGCGCTTCAGGGGAAGTACTTGTTGCTTTGCTGTCTTGTTTGTTTTTGTTTTGCTGATTGAACTCGGAGCTTGTGCGTGCAGGTAGGCACTTATGCTGCTCAGCTCTGCCCCTGCCCCTCATTTTTGTTTTGTAAGACAGGGTCTTGCTGTGTGGTTCAGGCTGAGCTTGAGCTCACTCTACCTCCCCAGGCTGTCCTGGAATTTAAGGAGATGCACATGCTTCGGCGTCCTGGGTGCTGGGATTAATGGCGTGTACTGTCACGCCCAGCTAGTGTGGTTATTAAACACTCAAGCTTTGGCAGTTCCTGCGTATTAGAGTCAGGTATTTTTGTGAAGTTTTTCTGCCCCTTCTTTTGTTACTGTTTGATGAAAGGGTATAATTTTGTTAGCTAAGTAGAAAGTTGGTTAGTTATTGTTAAAAAAATAAGTGTCTTTCCATAACTGTGTCTTTAATTTCAGCATGGCTGTCTGTAACATGGAAATAAAATCCTCAGACATGTTTCTTTCTCTTTTATAGGCGCAGTGAAGTTCCAGCTGATTGACAATCTACTTTTTGTTCTTGATACTGATGTATGTTTCTGATATTACTCTATCACTATTTTCACTTGCTGTTATGTTTTTGTTTATTCATTTGGGATGCTGGCAGTAGAGCCCAGGGTCTCATGCACCCCAAGTGCTCTGCCCTGATCTGTGTACCTCTAACTTGGATATTATGTTTAGCTGTGGTCGAACTTAGAAGGAGAAGGACCTTAGCTGGGATAGGTTCCTGTCTTACGTGCTGGCTTTATTTCTGTATGCCGTGTAAATTTATAGCCGTTGGGATGTGTAAACGAAATGTCTCCTTTGCAGAACGTGCTGAGTCTGTGGGATATTCACACTCTCACTCCCGTATGGAGCTGGCCCTCTCTTCACATAGACGAATTCCTTCTTACCACTGAAGCAGATTCGCCTTCGTCAGTCACCTGGTGCGCTATAACTCTAGCTGGGACAGTTTTCCTTCTCTTGACATGTTTTATGTCTGGTTTTGTTCAGATCATTTATTATGTTTTATGTTCTAAACCACACTGAAATAGTCTGACAGAGTAAGGACTGATTTGCTGTTTGCCTTTTTCCATTAGGAACAAAAAGGCAACATGAACCTTCAAGAGTTGTTTGAGATAGAATATCAGTCTGCGCCATACACTTGGAAAAATAAAATCCAGTGTTCGCACCTCCCCCCCACCCCCCAGTATTTGGTACAGGGTCTTACTGTGCAGCTCAGACTCACAGTGTTCTCATTTTCAGCCCCCCAGAGCTGAGAGTATAGGTGTGGCATGCGCTACCACTCCTGGTCTTTTTTTTTGAGACAGGATCTCATTGTGTATCCCAGGCTGGCCTTGAATTCTTGGCGATCCTTCTGCCTCAGCTTCTTGAGTGCTGGAATTACAGGTGTGCACTACCATGCCCGGCACCGGTGTCCTCTCAGTCCGTTTTAACTTTTGTGAAAGAAGTCACATCGATGTGGCCTAGGCCTAGTGATTAGCAAAGCTTGTTTGGTTTACTTACAGCTTCTTTTCTCTTTTAGGCAAGGGATTACAAATCTCAAGTTAGTAGCTCTGACAAGTACAGCTAATAAGAAGGTATAGTACAGTTTTACTTCCCGTCCATATTATGTGTTGAAAATAGCATT